ACACACATGTATGTATAAACTACACCCTGACCATCATTACTTTTCACCCTCAACCCTTGAAATTAATTGCTACTGTCCAAGAACTTAACCCAAAAACAGCATTCAACCTGGGAAAGTCTGCCAAGTAAGCACTAGGCAGTTTCACTCTGAAGTCAAGTCAATGAAGGCTTCCCTGAGTAGGTGACATTGAGCTACATTCTGAAGGTTGATTCGTAATTTAGTTTGCAGATGAAGGGTTTGTGTGTGGGGAGAGTGGGGTAGGGTTGGGTAGGTGGATGGTGGAAGCTAGTGGGGAGGGAAGCTGGAAAAGGAAATTCCAGGCAGGAGGAAGGGCATTTAGAGGTGAGACAACTGTAAACCACTCGGACTAGGAGGAGAATGATGAAAGATAAGATTAAGAGGACAAATTCTTATCTTCTAATCAAGGAGTTTGAATTTTATCCTGCAATATATTTAGGAGTCACCTAATCACTAGGAGGGTGTATGTATTTTAATTCACCTAATTTACTAATGTTATCTCTTCCACTCTCAATAAAATATACCTCTCCTCCCACCCCTCCCACCCCAAACTAAAAATCAAAATTGCATTCCTGGAATTCAAGGATAATATTATGGATAGATCCATCTTCTTTTTAATGACACACTTAAAAATTTGTTTCTGGGTTTTATTCATTAAGTAACTCATTGTGGTCCTATCTTTCCCCCCATCATAATAATCTTCAAATGAGTAAAGTAACAGCAGTTGTCTCAATTTAGCAACATTGGGAAATATAAATAAGTCATTATCAAAATCCATAGCTTATTAAAGAGTCTTCAAATATCAGGTGGCTAAGATTTGAGGCTTCTAAGACACTGTAAAAACAATTCACAAAGACATCTCAGTTGAAAGTTAAGAAAGTCTCACTCCATGGCTTTTTAAGTTTCTCTTAGCAAAAAGAAATAATTTTTTGAAAAGGGGATTGTGGAGCTGGGTGAAAAAGGTGAAAGGATTAAGAAATACAAATTGGTAATTACAAAACAGTCCCAGGGATCTAAAGTACAGCATAGGGAATATAGTCAATATTATTGTAATAACTGCGTCTGGTGTCAGAAGGGCACTAGAATGACATAAATGTCTAATCACTGTGTTTAAACTAATATAATATTGAATGTCAATTGTAATAAAAATACAATTTAATTGAAAAAAAAATGGAAAACTTCAAGATAGGTTTCAAATCCAGAGTCTCATAGTCTATCTATATTTGGTCCTTAGCAAATTAAAATATTGTCATTTGGTAATTTTGTGGCAAGGATGCTTCTGCAAAATTTTGTGATGCCAGTGTGTAGAAGAAATCCAAAAGTTAACAATTTATTCAGTGCCTTTTGTTTTCCTGCGAACACTGCCCCCCTAATTCTATAGCTTCCAAGGTTGCACCAAAAGAGGCTTTTAAATATGTATGTATGTGTGTGCACATGTGTGTACATATGTACACATGTGTGCATACATAAACAGATATATCAATTCTCTTTATATAAATGTATGCCTTATATATTTGTTACATATTTAATAACATACATTTAATACATACATATAAACTAAAGACTTGGGAAAACTCTGGCTTTTTAGATCTTTACATATAGGTATACTAGAGGCCCAATGCACGAATTCGTGCACCGGTGGGGTCCTTCAGCCTGGCCTGCGGGGATAGGGCAGAAACTGGCTCTCCAACATCCCCCAAGGGGTCCCAGATTGTGAGAGGGCGGTCCTCAGGTGATGCACCCCATAATCGGGCTCCCTCCTCTCTGGTTCCAGGTGTATCACCTGAGAACCGCAGCAGGGCTGGGATGAGCAGGAGCGGTGTGGTGCCTGGCCTAGGCTCAGGCTTCTCCCCAGCACACTACTACATCTCTCAGGGTATGTTGGATGGCTGGTTTTAGCCCAAAGGATCCCAGATTGCGAAATGGCGCAGGCCAGGCTGAGGGACCCTACCAGTGCACGAATCCGTGCACCAGGCCTCTAGTATATAGATAATTGTTTTTTGGAGGACAAACTAAAGGTAGAGATGATCTCTTTCAACAAAGAAAAATTTCCTAGAACTTGGTTCTAGCACAGTTATTATCAAACATTTTAATATGGAATTTGGGGGAAAGAAAACTCAATGAAACCCATTGCTCTGTGGGTGGCCTGGTACTTTTTCTAGTAGTAAAATACAGCTTTGATGGATTCAAACATCAATAGATCTTTTGCCATTGAGTCACACAAAAATAATAGTAATAATAATTTAAAAAGGAAAAAGAAAAAGGAACATTCATTAGGCAACTGCATTTAAACACACATACTAGTAAGAGCAACATGACCTGCCTCATATAGGGGGGTTGGGGGGGCGGATAATAATGGAAGCCAGACTTTGGTGCTGACTCAGGGGAGGGATCTGGCTGCAGTGGGCAGATGGTCCAGTGACAAGCTTAGTCAGCAAGAACCATTTGGGAAACACAGATCCTCTCTGCGAGCAAATCTTTTTGTCATTCCTGGAGAACAGGCACATTCTGTGGCCAAACCACCATGGAGTTAGAATGGAACCGGGCTGATGAAAATTAAGCCCAGTTGATTAAACAGTCTGAACCCTGACTCTGACAAGTGATCAGCTTTCACAGCTGAAAACTGGCAGTGGCTAACAGAGATGCTAAGAGATGATGATAGTTACAGCCAACATGGGTTTAGTGTTTGTTTTATGTACTGTGCATTGTTTTAAACCCTTTCCATGCATTAATTCATTTAATTCTCACAACAGCTCTTTGAGGTAAATAACAATATCATCCCCATTTTATACATGAGGAAAATGAGTCACAGAAATGTTTTTTGTTTGTTTGTTTGTTTGTTTTAATAATGCCCATTGTCTTTTAACTAGTAAGTCAGGAAACTAGGCCTCAAACCCAGGAAGCAGACAAGAAACATGAACAAGTCTATAGAAACATGAACAACCGGAAGAGAAGCCATTGTCATAGTCTATAAGAATCTGTTTTAGGAGACACAAATTCCAATGAGTCTTGCTTCAGACAGTAGAAAGTATGACTCATGAAAGTCATTATCCAAAGAAGCATAGAGGGTAGAATCTTCAATTCTATATAAGCAGGAGATTTAAGGTTTTTATAGATTTGGTGTTCTAGAAATTTGCGTTACTGCCAGTGATAAACTCACATGTTAGCATGACCATACCATTTGAATGGATGGATGAATGTGAGGAATATATATGTACTTTTGAAATCTCATAGGAAAATTTTTTATGCACAGAGTTTGGGGTCCGGTGATTGCATTTACCCTTTTGGGTTTCATCTGGAGAAAGAGTTTAGATAAATTCCATAATAATATTTTGCTTCAGCTAGATTAGTAAATGCAAGCAACCTAACTGGGAGTGAAAATGGGGAGGAATGGCTTTTGGCATCATCTGTTAAGATAATAATGCTACATATCAATTTCTAAATCTTAGTGCATGAAACAATAAAGATTTATTAAAGATTTCTGGGATGGCCTTTTCTGAACTTACCTGGGCTTATACATTTTTCTGTGGTCAACTGCGCATTATCTATGTACCCCTGCTGATCTTAGACAGGCTCACTCAAATGTCTGGGTGGGTGTTTGCCATTGGATGATCTCGTTTGGCCTTGGCTGAAATGGTAGGGATATCTCATCTCTATTTGTAGCTCATCTTCCAGCAGGTCTGGCTGGGCATATTCAAGTAGCTATGCAGAGAAACAAGCTATGCAAAGCAAGCCCCAATGCTTAAAAATATTTTGTATCATTTGCTAATATCTCATTGGTCAAAACAACTTATCTGAGGTCAGACCAAGAGTCAGGTTGAGAGAACTCAACAATACTAAATGGCAAAAGAAAAGGATATTGGGAGGAGTAAAGAATTAGAACCATTAGTACAATTAATTTTTAGTAGAACACATTTCCCCCCACCCCCCAGAGTATGGGGTGAGGAGGAAAGGGTTCATTTTGGTTTTCAGACTGTAAACTTGCAAATTGATATTTGGTTTGTGCTCAGACAAATAAACTAACAAAAAACCCTCCCAGGCATGTTAGTGCATTGATCAGGTTTGTTAGGCCAATATGGCTTTTTAAAAATTCATTCATTTTAAAACATGTTTGTAGTAATAACAAGCAGCAATTTTCACAGTCAAGTAAGGATGTGGAGGTGGCGCCAATTCACAAAGAATAATTTTTTGCCCTGTTACGTTTTCAAAAGATTATCATTTTGCAGAGTAATTGCAGAAGAGGGGTTCGTCAGATGTTAGTTTGGGTCACTTTTTCTTAGGAACTAAGTGTACATAGTCACTGAGGACCATATTTCTCTCCCTCCCCCCTGCCCCCCATCATCCATGGTTCGTTTGTTAGGACCATATCCTTTGGCTATATTTTATCATGTGGGTTCACTTAATATTCAAATCGTTAGTCCCCCTGGGATTCTGACTAGATTTTACTGGGAGATTGGAGTGAAAGGGGTTGGACGAACAATCAATTTCCAGTCTTTATGAAATTGTAGGGGATAATGAGAAAAAAATAGCTAATTTGGTTGCAATTAGCAAAATAGCCCCCTTTGTAGAAAGAAGCTCCTAAGTACCTGTTTCCAAAATAGAATTTGACAGTTTCTACAGTGAAAAGCGAGTTAATTTGAGGGAGAAATATTTATCCAAACACGAATACTGGTTATGAATGTTTCTAACGTAACTGGAAGGGGTCGACGCTGGCCTCTTTACTTCTAAGGCAAGTTCACATTCTGCTTCAGCTGATTATTTTTTCAACAATATTTGTCATATGCTTTTATGGTCTGCCAGTACTTTTTTGAAGCCCAGTTAGATCAGCAGCCAACAGAGCTGAGACTAAAAGGGGGCCAAACATCTCTCCAGAAGCAAGACTACTTCAAAAGATATGTGTTACAAAGCCCTACTGTGACTCAAATAATCACTTATTTTTAAGGGGGATTTGCTAATGTAGGATTGGTTTCTTATCTTCCCAGCCCCTAGTGAGCCTTTACTGTGCAAATTCGCTGATGGAGGACAAAAGAAGAGACAGAATCAAAGCAAATACACCCAGAATGGAAGGCCTTGGCCCAGGGAAGGAGAGGTGAGTCCCAACTGGCTTGTGCTCAGAAACTTGGCAGCAGACATCCCTCAGAAGAGGGACAACACAGACGTTTGGGGTCTTGAGAAAATCAGGTCCCATGGAAAAGCAAATGGCTTCTCAGGGGGCAAATGAGCAGGCCTATGTTAATGTGCTCAGGATAAAATTTCTTGAGAAAGAGATAGGACTTCAACATTGACCTCAGTTCTGCACTACAGTAAGTCTTCTGTCTTTAACTAAACTTGAACCCCATAGGCACTCACAGAAAGACTTATTCACAAGAAGTGATGTGTAATTGTATAATAGCTAAAAAATGAGGGTATGATTACTTAAGGAAATATTGGTGAAATCAACAGTGAGAGTTGAGTGTGTTTTGAAACAAGCAAACAAATATTGAGATTGAAGTGTTCTACTTGCACACATGTGTGTATTATGCATATGCCCAGATGTTCATAAATGTGTTGATATGTGTTATGTATGTTTATATATCAATATAAAATATAACATTTTCTGTTGGTCAAGGAGAAAGAAAAGTCGATATGCACAAGGTTTTGTTTTTCACAACAAGGAGGAAAGCATGTAACTATTAATTATCCATTTACTCTTGTAACACAAAATGGTAGAAAAGCAAGCCTATGGATCCAATTCCACTTGGAATGATTTCTTTTGGTTATTTTTTTCTTGTAAGAAAACAAAGAAAAGGTGTCTGGGCTTCTAAGAGGTCTTTTTATTCTTTGTGAAAGGAATGAAGTTGTTTGAATGACTTGAATAAATGCCATTTTGTACCAAGGCCATAATTTCAACAGAAGAGCTTTATTTAGCATTTCTATTCAAAGCACCTACTTCACCCATTTATCATTTAAGAGGCATCCTATTTGATGTAGCATTTTACACTCTTAGCACTGAGAGGACATTTGTAAGGAAAGAAAAGGGGGGTATTTTTCTCAGCCAATCCTTTAGCCATTTTTCAGTTTCTAAGGCTCAGTTTTGAGTATTTTCATGCAGGTCTCAAAACCCCTCTTAAAGAGTATACTTATACCCAAGTGCTGTATAATCTATAACTCATTACCTGAAGACATGAAAAAGAGAATCACCATGGAGTGCCTAAAGCTATTTTTAAAAAGGCAAGAGTCCCAATATTCTCAATTTTAGAAAAGCTGAATGACCCATGTGTTTTTGGCCAGTGGGTAGCACCACTGCCCCCAGAAGACAGCTGATTTCTGATAGCGCTCATTCTCACGTTGGTTCCATACCAAACATCCAGAGTCTAGAAAGATTCACTTGATCTTTTAAAATTTGGCTGGGTCAAATGCCTGCTGAGTAGAAAGATTTCTGGGTCCAAACTGTAACCGAAAAGCCTCACAGCTGAATTAGGCAACTTGGCACTAACGGCTAAAAGTTCCATTCTTGTCTTCTCAAGAAGCTATAATATTACATTTGCAGTGCAGAATTGGGATGCCAATTGCAGCAACATGCCTTGCCTTAGTCTACATTTCATAGAAACCAAACCAATAAACATAAAAGAAATGCAGAACTGGAGCTGCCACCCTGGTACTATGTACCGAATCTGGGCTTCTGCTTCAGAGTATGATACAAAAGAGCGTGTGTGCTCTTGGCCTGGAAACATTGTGGTGTTCAGTTTAGGACCCAGAGCCCCTTATAATTCAAATGTAGGTTTTAAAAGTATATTCCTAATCTCTGTTTTCAAAAGTTACTTTTTCCTGTTGAATTATGAAAATCAAGGGACCTTAATAAATTTATCTGTGACCAATACAAATATATTCCAAGGCTGTAGACACATTCAGAGGAAAGAAATCAGAAACAGAAATGGCATGCACTAAAAATATGCTTACCAAATATATTAATTTTGAGGTGAGCATGTTAATTTTTACAATTCTATTGTGGTCTTAGAAGTTGACACACCAAGAATGTTGGATAACTTTGTGTGTCCATCACAAAATATTTTGTACTTGCTAGAGTAAAGTGTATTAGTATGATTGATAATGTATGGCATAATATACATTAATCCCAGATAAGCAGTATTTAATTTTATATACCAGTAAATTCTAATTACTATATTTCATTGTTTCTAAGGCACACATTTTTTTTGTTGTTTTTCCACATTTTAACGCTTCTGAAATTGGTTTCCCTCGTATCATCAGTGTCATCATTACAAGATAAATTGTGTTTGCTCCTGCTAGTCACCTGGGTGTATTACCTACATTCTCTGTTTAAGGTCTATGACCACACTGATTGCATGAATTGAAGCTTTAATCAAAGCAAGAGCAGAGGGTCAGATTTTTAGGGGAAATTATTTTTGTCCCCTTCCTTTATCCAGTGCTAAGATTGAGACCTGCAACTCCCTCGAAGTTCATTTCTGATGGGTGGTGGTGTTTTTCATTTACCTGGTAGCCCTTTGACATCCCAGCTTCATAAGGAGGCGGTTTTGGATGTTTGTTTTGCTTGTTTATTTGTTTTGTTATACAGTTGACCTTGAACAACAGGCATTTGAACTTCACAAGTTCACTTACACGTGTGTGTTTTTTATAATATGTTTTTATTGATTCTTAGAAAGAGGAAGGAATAGGGATAGAGAGATCGATGAAAGAGAAACATCGTTTATCAGCTGCTTCCTGCATGCCTCCTACTGGGGATTGAGCCTGCAACCTGGGCATGTACTCTGAACAGGGAATCGAACCAGTGACCTCTTTGTTCATTGGTCAGTGCTCAACCACTGAGTCACACCAGCCTGGCTGCACATATTTTTTTCAATAAGTATCGAGTTGGCCCTTCATATCCCCTGGTTTCCCATCCACAGTTTCAAACAACTGCAGATGAGAAGCAGTTATCAATCTGCAGTTGGGAATCGGCAGATGCTGAGGGCCAACTATATGCATCGTTCTACCCCATTTTATATCCGGAACTTGAGCTTCTGTGTATTTTGGGGTCTGGTTTGGGGAGGATCTGAACCAATCCCCCATAGATACTTAGTTAAATTTGGGGGTATTAAAAGTTACATGTGAATTTTCGACTGCTTGGGGTTGGCATTCAATCTCTGTGTTGTTTCAGGGTAAACTGTATACAATAATAGTAGACCTTTCAATCATCATTACTTTAGATACAGTGAAGGATCATTTAAATTCTGTGGCTTTAGAATTTGAGATAATAGCACAAATTGAGGCTGTTTACTTTCCTCCTTTTGAAAATCAGGTAAAAACGTTAGTGTGAAAAGCATTTCTGATGAAATGCTGAAAATACAAAACTATTGGATTGCAAGCATCTTAGGAGTACCTTAAACATGACAATTTATAGGCTAATTAAAATTTTAATTTGTTATATAAACCTATTTTCTTCTGGGTGGCATTTTGATAATAGTTCCTTTAGCATAGTTTAGTGAAATGCATTTTTTACCCCCAAAAATCCAATATTGAAAACTTTATACATATAACTTAGTGAGGTTTTGAAATATAAACATATGCTGGTACATATTTTTGCATAAGGAAAACAAAGGGATATTTTAAAGTTATTATTAGCTTTCAAGTGACAAATGAAACTCTGAGCAGAATGATTAGAGGTTGGGGCTATTTGGCCTCTCTTTCCCAGTGCTCCACAGATCTGACTGCTTTATTTCTTAACGTAGCAGTTCTCAAATTCTTGGTCTTAAGTAATTTTTTATACTCTTAAAAATTATTATTTATTACTTTATTTAAAAATAGTAAACCCATCTCGTTATCAAAGATAGTATATTTTGTTGAAAGTACTATATTTTTCAAAGTAGAGACAATTATTTTTTAGAATAATGACACCACTTTACATTTTTGCAAATCATTTAATGTCTGACTTAGTAAAAGATAACCAGATTTGCATATCTGCTTCAGCATATATGTTACAATATTCTGTTTGGTATAAGCATATGAAGTCTAGCTTACGTAGACATGTCCTTGAGAAAGGCAGGAACTATGGATGTCCCCAAAGGATCTCAAGAACCCTGGGGTGTCATGAGACCACCTTTTGAGAACCATTGTCCTAGAGAAGCTTGAGCCAAGGACAGGGCTGCTATTCCACATCCATATGCCAGGAGAACCAGGCAGCTTGTGGAAATATTAAAATGTATCTGTAGCATTTGGTACGTAACTACTGGCAATGATCTATCAGTGCAGCTCCATTGCCCCTTCCACTCTGGTGCCTCCTTGAAGACCTCTCATGATCCAGCAAAAATGAGGTGCTCGCTGGCACAGCAGGAGTTCCCCAGGATCCTACTTCAGCATTTAGATTCTGATTGGCCAGTGCTTATGCCATACTAGAGGTAAAATGTTTTAAGGTCACTCCTAGCTCAGAAATAGTCTCACTTTGTCATCTCTATGACTCTCAAAATATTACATTGGCCATATATTTGATTTTATCTAACATCATATACTCGGTTCTTACTTCAGGCAATATGTTGCCCAAATTGATCTTGTTCGTGTTCCCCCAAAGGACTAGTCTGGAATCAGGAATGTATAAAACTAGTTCAAAAATATACCAGATACGTGAAGAGAAAATCCTGATGTGTCTTTCTATATTTCTCAAGAATATATTTTCAATGACTACCAAAAAACCACCAAGGCTGTGTGTACTCTTTGCCCCAAATAATAGCTGATCAAAAAACACTCAACTATTTTGTAAACATGATTGAATCAAATCAAAGGATGGATGTTTCTACTATGATAATGAAAGTCTCTAAAATTTTGAAGTTGTTTTACATTGACTCTTGTGTCTATTCTTTGAATTTCCTTCAGAATTTTCAAATATCAGTAAAGGCCAAGTTTCAGATCACAGAAGATAATGCTATTTCTCCAAAATTTTATGGTGGGATATTACCCTTAAATAGTTGAAATGTTATAAAACAAATTATTTTCACTGGCTTCAAAACTCTAATCTAGCTTTTATAAAATCTTCCCAAGCCCTATACTAATTGAGTCATTAAATGTCACTGATAATGATTGCTTTGGGAATTGTACTTC